AGCCCCTATTAGCCCAGCCCTGGGTTCCCCCACAGCTCTGCTGGTGCCCCTCACTCCTGCCCCACAGTCCCTGCCAGCCTGGCCTTACCCACCCCATCCCCAGCCTGCTGGTGCCCCTCATGCCCAACCCACAGCCCCTGCCAGCCTAACCCCCCTGCTCTGTCAGTGCCCCTCACTCCTGACCCATAGCCCCTACTAGCCCACCCAAGAACTAGGACTCTCTCCCTCACAATTCCTACCTTCAGTCTGTCTTATAGCCCCTTTCCTTGGGGCTGACCTTTTATAGCCCCCCACCCCACTTAAGGTAGGCAGAGCCCGTCTCCCACTCCTTATAAGGACATTTCCCAGAGGGGGGTGATTCTATGGGGGTGGGGTCCAGGTGTGCCCCACCCTAAGCCCAGCTGAAACCGTTCAGGGAGGGGCCTGGTTTCAAATTGGTTTTATTGGAGGGAAGCTAGACTGGTAGTCAGGATTCCTGGGTTCTTTTTCTGGCTCTGTAAGGGCATTGGGTTAGAACAAGGGAAACTAGGATTCCTGGGTTCTCTTCTTGGCTCTGGGAGGAGAATGGGGGCTGGTGGGTTAGAGCAGGGGGGGCTGGGAGCCAGGACTCCTGGGTTCTTTCCCTGGCTCTGGGAGGGGAGTGGGGGCTGGTGGGTTGGAGCAGGGGGCTGGTTGGTTGATGTCACAATCTAGGCTGTATCTTTGGAACTTCCTGCTGCTATTTTTCTGATGAGCTGGGTAGATAAAACGGCTTCTTGTAATAACAACAGCTAAAGTCATGGGGTTGGGGTGGGGCCTGTCCCCTCTGGGGGCCCCCCATCAGGGCAGGGACTGGCTGGCTCATGGGGGTGGGGAATAGGGCACAGGGCCTTTCCCCTCTCAGGGGGCACTGGCTCCCACCCGGCCTCAGGGCAGGGACTGGCTGGCTCATGGGGGAATGGGGTAGGGGCCTGTCCCCTCTCGAGGGGTGCTGGCTCCTTTCTGGCCCCAGGACGGAAGTCCCTCCGTGGTGCACATGTGGAACGAGTCTGTCCGAGTTCAGCCCAGCTCATCACTCCCGCCCCCACCATCAGCCCCAGCAGAGTGGGCCCAGGAGTCCCCGTAGATTGAGCCCTCCTCCTGCTGGGGGGCTGGCCTGAGGACTGTTCACCTACCCTCAGGGGAGGGGGGACCTCTGGCGGCTGCGACTTCCCGGGGGTTCCAGGGAGAGAAACGGGCAGAGAACGTTTCCACTCGGTCCCTGCAGTGTGAGCCAGTCACCAAACCACAGCAGTGAACAGCTGATCACAGCCTGACTTCCTGCCCCATGTCACAAGAGGGGCTGAGGGCACCAGCGGAGCTGGGGGGAGCCCAAGACTGGGCCAGCAGGGGGCTATGGGTCAGGAGTGAGGGGCACTGGCAGAGCTGGGGGGTGGCAGGGTTGGGCTAGCAGGGGCTGTGGGTCAGGAGTGAGGGGCACTGGGAGGGGGTGGAGCCCAGGGCTGGTGTACCAGGGGCTGTGGGTTGGGAGTGAGGGGCACTGGCAGAGCTGGGGGCGGGGCAGGGATGGGCTAGCAGGGGCTGTGGGTCGGAAGTGAGGGGCGCTGGGGGGGGGAGCTCAGGGCTGGGGTACCAGGGGCTGTGGGTTGGGAGTGAGGGGCGCTGGGAGGGGGCGGAGCCCAGGGCTGGGGTACCAGGGGCTGTGGGTTGGGGGGGAGGGGCGCTGGGAGGGGGCGGAGCCCAGGGCTGGGGTA